AACTTTGTTTCCAGTATATGGCACTGTTGCTTGTTCTGGTATATTTGCTTTCATCTTTTGATCAGGCAATATTGCTCTTAATTCTCAGCAGCTTTCACTGAGACACACCTTACTATGGAAAAGGAACAGACAACTCTACTACACACAAAATTCAGTCAATACCCTTAAACTCACGAAGCATAAATTATAGACACTAATATATTTAAGAATGCATTCTCATGCGATAGAAAAATATGGCATCTAGAGCAGAGGACAGTGGAAGGAGTGCTATCATACATCTGTCATTTTCCATTTTCACAATTTTTACTGAGAAAGATGATTTATCCCCATCATGTCTCTTGTCCCTGGGACTCCATATTCCCTCCTCTGGGCCTGAGAATGAAGTGAGATAAAAACTGGGAAAAGTTTTAAATCCATAAAGTTAATACCATCAAAATCTTCCCACTGCACTCACCTACCTTTTTGCCTGCTGTTGGATGAACGTTTCAAATTGCACCACATCAAATTATTTACATAATGCAACTGGGTAACTCAGTTTGTCAGGAAGTATTAAATTCCTTCTGCAGAGGACTGGTAAAACTGTCTTACAAGAAATCTATTTTTTTTTTTCTTCTTGTTGTTTGGTTATGACCTCTTCTGTTACTCATCCTTGTTTTAACAAGGATGTTCTTTGCTTGCACTGTACTGAAACCACAATTTCCCCCCTAATTTACTCACAGATTTAACTAGGCAAATTGTAAAATAACCTCTCTATTTCCTATCTCCCTTGAAAAGTAAAAACTCATTTTAATTGCTAACACTATGTGAAAAATTATAATACAAAGATTTTTTTTAAAAAAAGCTAGCGTGATTTCTACTAAAAGGTAAGAGAGTTGAGCTTCAAAGAACATATGAGAATGAAGACAAAGGGTCAGCACAAATTTCAGTTAAATTATTTTTTACTTCCTTATAAAGGTTCACAAAGGTAAACCAAACTCTTCTTTCAATGACAGTTACTCCCACATACAAAATCTTTGAAGATCTTTTGTTAATTCCACAGCAATGAGGCTACAGTATATCTGTTTTGCTTTGCTTCTAGCAATGCCCAGAAAATGGCCCAGAAAACCTATAAAGAAAGGCAAGGTAGAGCTTGAAGTCCATTCTAAAACTGATTGTAATGGGTATACATTAATTAAGCAAACTACTCATGTTAGATTCCCTTGAACTTAGCAAAAATAGCTTTAAACAAGACATCTGTAGTGATAAATAGCTTTTTTCAATGTTAAACCAATAGTAAATTCATACAGGGATAAAAGTTGAAATTATCTAGGAAGTCTTTGAACTTCATTGTTCCAACAGAATTAATTGGAGAATGTTTAATTGAAACATTGAACTAAGAGTATAACACAGCAGTATATTTCCTGCAGTGTTTTATTAGAATCACCTTCTGTGGTGTTCTTGATTTTTTCCTAAAAATTATTGAACTCGTTTCTGATCCTACCTTTTACAACATAAACAAAGTGCTCTTTTACACCAGTTATTTATTTGTTATAGAGTCACAAGATCACAGAATAGTTGAATTTGGAAGGCACGTATAGAAATCATTCAGTCCAAGCCTGTGTTGCTCAAGGCAGAGTCATCTCAAGGATGTTCCTCTACCCTTTGTCTAGTCAGGTTTTGAAAATCCCCAAGGATGGAGAAGCCACAACCTTTCTGAGAAACCTGTTCTACTGCTTTATAACCCCTAGAGTATGTGAAACTATTCTTATACTTAAATTGAGTTTTCCACATATCAGTTGCTCCCTAATTACTTTTTCATCTCAATAAATTACCAACACAAAAAAAACCCACTTCTTTTTGTTATCTCATCATGTAAACTAATTTTTGAAACTGGCAGGAGTAAGTGTTTAAAGGTCTGAGGGTTTTTTTAGGTACTCATGGAACAGTTTTGAGCAAGGTGGAAAAGCATGACACGCAGAATCCGTGATTTTGCTGACTGGCTTCATGATTAAGCGCAGTGCACTTTCAAACTGACACTGCAAAGTTTCAACAAGTAGATTCGCTACAATGTAGCACTGCCTCCATGCTTTGTTAGGATTAAGTTCCATTTGGTTTTCTAATGAGAAAAAAAAATGTTTTCAGTTTCTCTCTGGGGAGACGGATACAGCTGTTGTTATTACTTTTTCTGTTGGAACAAAGGTATACTGGACAAATAATTATTCTGAAGTATCTTTTAGTTGTATGCTTTTGCTTATTTCTCTAGGAAGAGAGGTTGTCACTTATTTAGATATATTTCACCATACATCATGAGTAAACTATTATGAATATTTCAATTTTGGGGTTTCAGTCATTCCCCAAATAATATATCATCTTTCATTATGACTCACTCACCTCCGCAGTCTAGCATGTTATACTCATCTGGCTTTTCCAGGGGCCAACAGTCATAGTCTTTGTTATCTAAATCATGCCACGCCTCCACTAGCATCACCTGCCAGAAAAAAAAAAAAAGAGAGAGAGAGACATTATAAGAGGGAAAGGATGAGTTCCATCTCCTAAGTTTATTATCCTTCTACAAAAGTCAAACAAAATGCAGAAACATAGGCTGACATAATTTGACCTCTCCAGCTTCTGGAGAAGAAAAAAAAAAAAAAAAAAAAAAAGGTAATTCCATAAAAACACAACCAGTATGTTATTTTGATCTGTCCAGAAACTGGCATGAAACAGTCAGAAGACTTAACTAACCTTTATCTTCCAAAATGGCTCTTTACAAAAAGCAGGTGGTTGGTCTTTTTTGTCCGCTCAGTTTCTTTTAATCTTTTATACCTATAATCTTTGAATGAGTAATTTTTTATACTTTTAATAACACAATACAAATTTTAATTATATAAATGTTAGTATACACAATAACACATAAAATAAGGATTACATCAGCCTATTATAGGTAGAATACAGCATCATAATAGCACACAGATTGAATTGAAACAGTAATAAAATATACATTATATATGTATATATAATTCATCATAACAGATTATATTAGTCATGTATTAAAATACACTTTAGGGTGTATATGAACATATCAGAATACTCTATGACAAGGCACTCCAGGCTTATTTTATTTCTAGTAAAAGATAATAGTTTCTACTCATACAATCTGCTATTGTTTTCCTGTATATTATTAAAGTATAATAATCTACTGTACTCTCCAATTGCTTATCACAAAACAATGTCAACGGAATGAAATAGAATGATACAGCTTATTTTTCCAATATATCTTCTATTACTCTTGATTTCTACATTACTAAAATAAAAATCAACAACTGCCTAGTATCAATGGCTGTTCCACAGTAATAAGCCGTACACAGTTCTTTCTGTACACACAGATCAGAGGAATAAGTTCTGGCAAGCAGATCTAAGTAGACCTACCAATAAACTGAGGAGGCTTCGGAGCTCTACAGCTGGTGATTTGACAGCTCCCATGCTCCCTAACGTGCACCCAGCTCACCAAGTGTCAGGGCTGCTTCTGATGTTGCTGCTGCTTCTGAATTAGATGCCCTTGCCTAAGAAGGGGGTTGCTAGGCAAGCTGATCCTGGCAACTCCAGCTGCTGCAGCTGTTGTGCCTCCTCCTTCCCTCTTCTTACACTTCATGGTGCAGGGTGGAAATGCCCCTCTGCACCTTTCCTGAAACCCTTCAGAAAGTCCCCACTTGTTGTAGGGGCAGTCCTACCCTCCTGAAATTTATGCTTCTTACTGCTTAAAGCTAGAAAACCAACTGGGGGAATTTTCTTGCAGCACCCTGTCGAATGTGAGCAGCATCCAATCCTTAGGCAGATTAACTGATTGATGCTGTGGACACAGATGAGCCCAAAGAAGGAGACATGTATAAACACCAAGGCAAGCAATGGCCACCAATATCAGATGAGCAGTAAGGCTGACCAGCTGACCAGCTTACTGAGCTTCCTTCCAACCTGAATTTTATGAGCCATGTGACCTCAATTTCTCAGTCCTTGAAGGCATAGGACAACTATCCAAGTGTCCTGCTACATACACAAGTGAAACAGGCCTCTGTGTAGCCACATTGGTACAATAAAGACAGATGTGTCCATATGGGAATATCTGTGTTTGCTGAAGCCCTGCCAATACAAATCTTCAGTTGTGATTCAGCTCTCCTGAATATTTCCCTATGTTGCCTCTTGAATTCTGCCTCTGGGCCAATCTGATTTAAGACTCTTAGTCAAACTTCACTATTTATTGCATCAAAATGGCATGAAAAACCTGCAATGTATGCCCAAATAATCTTGAAAGAGATGTAGATGAATTCACTCATTAAAGAGTTATTCATATAAACTAGTGTTTTAGGTTGAAATTTTATGTTTGTTGTAAGATGCTAAACTTCATGTGTGGTTTGTCTTCCTGTGCTTCACTGTGACGATTTCACTGAAATGATGGGTTTCACTATGTGGAAGTCTTTTAAAGAATTTCAGCATGCTTTTTTTTTTTTTTTTTTTTTTTTTTTTAGAATTATCTACTTAAAACAGCCCACTTATATTAACATCTTGGAGAGGTTTTATTGGCCCTGTGTTAGGGAAGCTTAGGATTATAACTTGTTAGATACTTCAGAAGCCAAAAGACTGCTTGACTGATCCTATTTTCTTTAATTAGACTGACAAATATTCAGATGACATTGATACCACGATTCAAGGACTGTAAATATCATACATTACCTTTACAGCTACTTGTCTATCACCTCATTTAGAATTCCTGGAGAATGGCCACATGTACTTGGGAATCTTGGATTAAAGATGGACAGACAGGAATGGCTGGCAATTGTATGATTTAACAATCTATCCCAGCTACTTGGGATGCACATTACCATCTCTGCATTTAAGCAGAGAAGCACTGGAAATTTTAAAAATAAAACCAGTGCAATATAAATATACAAACCTTGGTAAAAAGAAAGGATTGACAACTCAGTGAGCAATATATTCTTTAGCTCTATCCACAACTCTCTGTATATAAAAGAAATCAGAAAAACATTTTAATAAAGTGAAGTATTCATCTAAATAATATTTGCTTTATATTTGCTGCTTTTACTGTAAGTTATACACAGTTACATAGTTTGCATTAACATCTTTACATTCCATCATATTATGGATGAGTTTATTAAAAAAGCCAGACCCAGTCTAGCATAGATTAAGTGAATTCTATGTACTGCTGCTTGACTTGTTTAGTGCAGTAACACTGAGTTCTTTGGCTTCTTTTTTTCAAAGGATCTCTTAATCTGAAAGAAAAAAAAAGCAAAAAGAAAAACCAAACAACAACAACAACAAAACCTCAAACAAACAAACAAAAATAGGCCATTTCTACTGATTGAAATTAAATTATCAAATTATTTCATGTTTACAGATCTATTTCTATTATGCTGGCTAGACTAAGATGGTCCCTTAAGGTACCTTATTTCCATTTCAGTAATTAACACAGTAATAACTTCTACTATGAAAGAAACAGGGAAAGTAAAGATTCTTGAAAAAATTATGACCAAGAAAACTTTAGATGTTGTTAAAAACATGCATTGTTGTTAATGTTTCAAAAATCATATAACTTAAATACAAATTTGTAATATTTGTAACAAATAATAACAATGGATACAATATTGCTGAACAAAAGTTGCCACCTATGTTCTTTCAAGCATTGTAGGATAGCATTTACAGCAGTAAGTCAAAACAAAAATTAGTGCGATGAAAACTTCAGATACGTTTGAAAATACGTATTTGTTCTGACATTTAAATTTTCTAGATGGTTCTTGTCTTGGAAGGAAGATGAGGTTACTGACTTAAAAAACAGACAAACATACATTTAAAAACACACCAAAAAAAA